TATAAGTTTTGTAATAGCAACTCTTGATTCCCATTAATTGAGAATTTATGACAAATCTATCCTTCCATTTGTATTGACCAGCATTATACTTGTTTTTATAATAGAAAATAATGGAAGATACCCACCGCTCCAACAGAGGGTAGAAATTCTCCTATGATTATATCGATAACAGGTTTCCCTATCTGCTGCTCAATCAGGACCGGCTCCTTCTCGACTCCTCCGGGATCAAGCACGATCACAACACCATCTTCACCGCCAACTATCACCTGATCTATAATGATCTATGGATGAGTTCTGCCGTATGATGTGATGCTTTGCCTTTTACTTCAAGATAAACTAATGCTCTCACCTCTATTCTCTATAAGAGCTCCAACAGTTATACATGAAGCGGCTGGGTATTGGTTGGCGTACCACTCGCTAATTCGAAATAAGGACATTCAACCGTTTTTCATCAAACGATCATGTGGAGAAGCGAGAGTCCAATCCACCTGCGCGCTGTCGTATGTCGTCATGGAGACCTGGTCGAGGAAACGAGTGAAAGGTAAGGAGGATCTAGTGAGAAGTGATGTGATCCCATTGGCCTAAATTGAGAATCAATACGTACACTAATTTTTAGAAAATTGCTCCAAAGACTACCAACCAGGAAAGAGCAAACACATGTGACAGATATTTAGAAAACGCCAGAACATCATCCAGAATTGTGCCATGCCTGTGGAAAGCATGACCGAACGATGGGCTTCACCAACGTTACTGTTCTAAGGCTGTTAAGTGATATCAATTACGTTCTCATTTTCCAAACAAGAACTCTAATGGGTTGTTCTTTCAGCCTAGAACAATGGCTAATGTTAGAGAATGCGCATTTAATTCTCACACCACACAAACTCTTATTTTTCCAGAGTCTTTCTGCTGACAATATTTTATTTTATTTTGATTCTTGTTGCGGCTGTTTTGGGGATCTGCTTCAATGCAAAGCTGTTTTCGGTAATTTTCGCTACGTGAAAGCCGCTATATATAC